AGGTGAACTTCGGATGGGTAACAGGGTTGGATTTGGGCATTTCAAGAACGTTTCAACGCGTTTCTTCAAGAATAAGTGGTATCACATTAAGCAAACGAGCTCCAAATTCTGTTTTGACTGAAACATTAGATCCGTATCAAAATTTCAGAGCCATAGCAAAAAGAATCGTCGAATTCGGATATTGTATGGGAGAGTTATGCCCATTTCGTGTCGGGGAAAAATAATTTCTCATCGCCAGCGCCCAGGGTAGCGCTGGGCGCTATCCCTGGCGCCTAGATTTTTTTAGCTACTGGAACCAGCGTCACAGGCAGTGCCCGGCGCCATCTGTGGTGCATGAATGGTAAAATGCTATAAAACGGGGGTTTCGACCATTTTTACACATTTGGAGCTATGGAGCTCGGTTTGGGCGATTCTCAGAGGCAAACTTCACCACAAAACTTGGGGTAAGTGTTATTGACTCCCTTGTGATTATATTCCATGAATTAATCTTCATTTTTGGAGTTAGATTATTGATATTTCAAGAGAAATGGAGAAATTTTCTAAAATTCCATAAAAATGAATTTTCAAGATTTGAACATCGATCCAGAGTCGAATTTGAGTAAAGTTAGTATGGTTGGACTCATAATTGAATGGGTTGTTGGATTTTGTAAGTTTTATCAGATTCCGATACGTGGGCCCCACTATCAAATTTTTGAGCGGAGTTGGGAATTTTCATAAATGGTTAAATTGTAAGAATTGGTGTATGTTTTGATTAATTTGCACGTTGTTTGACTAGTTTTGAATTGTTTGGCTTGGAATTGAGGATATTGGAAGGCGTTCAAAGGTTGATACGCATATAATGGAATTTCCGGAGTATTGTTAGCTTACTCGGCATTGGAGTCGGCTTGTTCAAGATAAGTAACTCTTTTAAACTTAGTGCTGAGGGTATGAAACCCCGAATTATGTGTTATGTGATTGATGTTGAGGTGACGCACATGCTAGGTGACGGGCGTGTGGGCGTGCACCCTGTGAATGGTGACTCTGTTGTTTCCAGGACACTGTGTAGTGGTCCTACTTTGTTGATATCTGTGTTTTCACCATGTGATAAGTAAATTGTGTTGTATATCATGTAGATATCATGTTTAGGTTTTATGACGATATTGTTGGGACCCATAGTGGTTGTTTATTGCTGTCATCTCACTGATTTCATTGATATTTCATACTCAGTCATATTCATTTATTCATATAATATCTCAGTCTCAGTTGTTTATATTGATACATTATATCATCATTTTTGGGCTGATTTTCATGACATTTTGAGCCTGAGAGACTGGAGAGATTGATGACTGAGTGAGGCCGAAGGCCTAATTGTGAGGATGATTATGGGATCGGGCTGCACGCCACAACATGTTGTTACTGATTTATGATTGTGTGAGGCCGAGGGCCTGATTGATTTATGCCACGAGATGGTTTGTTATAGCGCTTGGGCTGAAGGAGCCCCTCCGGAGTTTGTACACACCCCCAATGAGCGCAGGTACCTACTGAGTGCGAGTACGAGTGCCGAGTGACTTGGGAGGATTGAGTGATTGTGAGGCATGAGTGACCGCGAGGATTGAGTGATTGGGAGGACTGAGTGACTGAGAGGATTGAGTGACATGGAGGACTAAGTGAATTGATACTCTGAGAGTATGCATATGGTTTTGTCACTATTTTGCATTGCATTGGCATGCGCATTGGAATATATGCATAGAGATGTACTTTTCTCAAGCCATTTGAAAAATGAAATCTCCTATTTTGAAAGAAAGTTTTATGGGAAAGATCATAATTTTCAGACTTACTCATATTGTGGTGATTTCAGTGAAAAGAATTGAGTTTTACTATTATACTTGAAAAGAAAATATTTTTTTGGAACTGTGAACGAGCGCATCATTTTGTTATTGAGTTATTCCTTGTGATGCTTTAATTATATTGTTATGAGATGTTACTGGATATTGGTGTGGACTCTGACCTTACTACAAGCTCGTCACTACTTTCAACCTAAGTTTAGGTTTGTTACTTTTTGAGTACACGGGGTCGGTTGTACTCATACTACACTTCCTGCACATTGCGTACAGATTTTGGATCTCGACGTTGCTGTGTTCGATAGGAGATGACTTGGAAAATGTACCGGTGTCCCTGTTGTAGCTGCCTCTTGTTCATGGTAACCTTAGATTCACTAAACTCTGTTTATGTAACTTTTCAAACAGAAGATGTATTTGTTTTATATCAGTTTTGCAAACTATTAGAAGCTCATGATTTGTACTACCAGTCCTTGAGAGGTGTATAAGAGATCATTTATTTTTCTTCAGTATGTTATATTTGTATTGGACTTGATGAGTTGGCTTACCTAGCGGGATGGGTTAGGTACCATCACGACTAGTTGGATTTTGGGTCGTGACAATAGCCTTTCAAGGATCCACTATGGTCCTATTCACGACACACACTAGCAGCCGTCCAATCCGAAACAAATTCCCACAGTCCACAACCAAAGGAATAGAGCGCCTTTCAGGCATAAACTCTCACATTAGTGACAGTACCAGAATTTCCATACTTGGTTTCAAACTATAACAATCAAGTGGATAACATGTCATGCTTTTACGATCTTCCCGTGGGCTACACTCCCATGACCTTCCGCACCAGGTAGCAAAGCCAACCCATCTGTACCTTCAACCGTTCTAATTCTGTAAAGCAAATCAAGAATCCGCAAATCAATACACAATGACTCTTCCACAGAACACCATCCTCAGGCGACACTAAGATAATGCCATCTTACTCTTAACATCTGAATACTTCCCTGCTCATCTGAGCTAGTGACATTCTTATCAACACCGAGCCTCAAACTTGATCCTCAACTTCCAATTCCTATGTCTCCCACTGCACCTATCATGCCGCTACACGAGAGTACAATAATTCATTATAACCCCGGAACTACTAGAAGAATAAACACTTTGTTGGCTAGAACACTTTTACTTAACCCATTTCAGAGGAACCATTGCAACCCGCAATTGAATTTCTATAACCGTAGAAAATAAAAACCTCAAGTCGTGGTATAAACCGCCATAATTCTTTCGGGATCCATTTACACATAACAAGGCCATTTGAATCAAATACCTCCAAAATCAATCAAATTATGGTGGCTATTAAGCCCATATGTACAATCACAAATCACATGTATAACTCAACACGCCGAAGGAACTGATCATTGCCGCAATCATGCTCGTTTAATCCATTACTATCCGATCCCACTTCTTCCAATTTACTCTTGACCTACCTTAGAAATAATAATAGCTCCATTAAAAAACATAATGAAACTCAACAATTCTCACCCCGAGTGACCCAATTCACGATACTTCATTGTCTCAATACCCATGAACCATCTCATATCCTCATCATGCTCACAATAGCATCTCTAATTGGTACACCCAGTCTGAAAGACCTTCCGCAAATTCGAAGTTGTTTCTCCTATTTCTCCAATACTGCCCCGCAAACGCGATGATAACATAGAAAATTCCCCAAGTATTCTTCATACTCTGCTGCAAAATCCCGGTATTCAGCCACACAGCGAACCCAACAATCCTTAGACACCATGGTTACATTCTTGAACCTATTAGAACCACTGTTGAGAGTCATCCACCATGACCTGGTCCCGAATACAACCAAACTCCAACGCTCTGTTAGCACACGAACACTCCAAAAGAAGAAATCGGATGATTTTTTTCCTTGTACATCACATCCACAAGAAGCATAAACTCTGAGTCTTCCCAAACCTGCACATGAATCGATAATGCGAAATATAGTACACATTCATCAAGTCTTTTTCTCGAATTACCCCTGATGTTTTCATTGTTTAATCATAAATAATTTACCAATGCACCGATAACTAATTTAGCTTCAAATATTAGTCAAATTGACTCTCGAGAAGTGAAACGTGACAAGTAAAAGTGAACGGAGGGAATAGATATGATCAAAATTTTGTGCATTGTTGTTACGGAGATTCTATGAATATCTAAGTTTTTGTGTGAGTTTATTGCTACTCGAAAAAAATTGAGTCATTATATCTGAAATAGGGAGGAGAAAAGCCAAATAAAAAGCTTAAAGCTTTGACTAAACCAACCAAAATTAAAATATTCATCTTCAAAGCCTAAACGCTTACATAAAACCAATTATATAGAATTCAAAGGTCCTCATGTGCAGTAAACTTTTATTATACCTCCGTAATTGATGGAGTTTTATAATTTTTAAAAACATAAATCACCCTGTTGAATAAGTAGTAGATGAGTTTTTAATGTACAAGAGACTTATTATGTGTACAAGTCTTTGCAGGATTTATATATAGTATAAACAACTAATTAAAGAGACATGCTCCTCTCTTTATAAGTCTTTCTAACCCATCGTATTCGGTGTAGAACAAAGATAGAGAGGAGACGAGCATGGCGAACTATATATACCAAGGGAGCAGGCACATGCCTTCTGTCATTAATTGACCAAAGAGAGCAAATTGAAGTTTATACAGTTAGATTCCTACTACGTACTTTGATTTATATTTTATAGTTCAATTAAATATATTTTTGAATATTAACACAGTAAAAAATATAACTATTTCTTACATAAATTATTTACTAAATGTCAATAATTCTATAGATGATATGGCAACACACGTCTATAGAATATATATATATATATGGTGAAGGGACTATAGCAGTATACCAAACATTTTATTTTCCTGAAATGCCCTTATTCTTTTTTTCGTCACATTAAATTAAGAACGTTTCTGTCATTTCATCAACCAAAAAAAAAAAAACACCCAGTAGGATGTATGGTCTAGCTTTTTTCTGAAAGGAATAGATAACTTAACTTTTCTCTGCATGTGTATCACGTGAATATTACTCATCAATCAGACATTAACTACTACATTATTCAAATCCTACCTACCATATAGTAACTCTAATGATTTATGTGCATATATAAATGGCTCCTATCTCTTCATTGCATGACACAAATCATTCATTGAAAAATGGCAACCTTGAAAATGCTCCTTACTTTACTGGTGGCTGCAATTTTATTTTGCAGCCAAGTTGCCGAGGCTAGAGAAGTAGCCTTGGCCAATGACGGGAACGATTTACAAATTTTCCCATTTGATATTCCATGTTATCTGCCGTGGCCATTTCCGTTTCCACGGCCATATCCATGCCCTCCTCCACGGCCACGACCATGTCCGCCTCCACCTCCACCACCATGTCCTCCACCACCATCCCCACCCCCTCCCGCCCCGAGTTCGAGCTGCTCAGCTAGTGATGAATCAAATATTTACAGGTGCATGTTCAACGAAACTAAAATTGATCCATGCTGCCCAACATTCAAGAGCATACTTGGTACTAGTTGCCCTTGCTATAAATATGCAGAGAATTTGGATAATCAAGTGTTAATTACTATTGAAGCTTATTGTGATGTTGATAGCCCTTGCAAGGGTTTGCAAGTAAGTTTTATCTGTCGTTTAAAATTTTGACGCACTCATTAATAAGGTTATTTACCAGAACTAATATTGAAGTGTATTTAACTAAATTACCCTTACATTTTCCTTAAAACGAGTGATTAACTTTTCTTTTTCAAATTATTTTTCTATATACATATTGATGCATTATGTTAATTAATTTCAGGTGATTAAGCGGTCCAAGGAGGAAGAGTACAAATAAAGAGACTTGATGTTTAATTCCAGATGTTGATGTTGTATTAGATGATTTGATGTTACTCTTTCTGTTGAGAAGTCTTTTGGTTATCTGGTTATGGTTTAGTCTACCATTTTGCAAGACTTTTGTAATTTCTCGGGGTCCACTTGTAATGTCTGTGTTTCAGCAATAATTGGCATCTGTCAGATTCTTAGTACTAAAATATTACGGAAGAAATTCAAAAATAGTCCGATTTATAAGCGGTCATTCAAAAATAGCCACAATTTTAAAAGTAATTAAAATTTAGTCATTTTTCATGTAAAGATAAATTTGAACGAAACACTAATCAAAATCCGAAAAATACTCCAATATAATATACTGATGTTCCAGCATAATATACTGGTGTTCCAGCATAAGTATACTAGACTTTCGGCATAATATATTAGAGTTCCAGTATAATATACCGGTCCAGCATAATATATTAGAAGTTTATACACATTTGCTCCAATCTCCAGTATGTTATGTTAGAACTTTTCGCGTGTTGGAGTTCCAGTATAATATGCTGGAAGTTCATACACAGGTGCACCGATCTCCAATATATTATGCTGAAATTTTCCGTGTTAGCAAAGAGTGATTATTTTTCAATGACTTTGCAAACGCTTGCTATTTTTAAATGACTAGTCTGAAAACTGGCTAGCCAGTGCTATTTTTACAAATATTATAGTACTATTTGTAGTCCAATGTCCAATTTTCTGTATTTTTTTCTTTTCTCTTTCTTATTTTAAGATAAAATAACATTATTTAGAATAAGAATGATTAGGGCCGGAGCTACAGTGTCAAATGCGGGTTCGACCGAAACAAGTAATTTTTGTCCATAGTTTAGATTTTTTTTTAAAAAACAATTGTTGAATATGTATAAATATATAATTTAGAACCCAATAACTTAATAGGACTGCTACACCAAACTCATAAATTTCAAATTCTGACTCGCTAAAAAGATAGGTCTCCACAGCGTGGAATGGAAGAACTATTATGAATCCTGTAATGACTAAATATATATAATCTCCTTTTTACTTTTTAAATAATAAATTAGTCTTTGATACCAAATCATATTTAGTTCCATCCAAACTTATTTTTGTCTGAATCTTCATAAAAGAAGATGAAGAAAAAAAAGAATCGTGACGAGATAATTGTGATCCTTCCAACCTTAGCCATTGGAACTTTATGAATACAGAAATTTTCGATTAAAAAAATATAATACTTTTCTCTTAATAAAACTTACACAATGTTAATTCAAATTATCAATGATTTTCAAATATAACTAATATTCATAAAAGGAAAACAAGGATAGTGCCCGACAACCACGTCATCAAGACTTTGAATGCAGTGACTGGAATAAAAAAGATTATCATGAGTTGGATGGGTGAAGTAAATTTTATAGTTGTACAATTATCCATACAATAAAAGTTAGATATGGGTGATTCAAAAACTTGAAGTTATTGTTGAGTGATTTTAGATTTTTATATAGGAATTTTTTTTCGTTATATTGGCATAATAACTTGACCTCTTGTTTTAAATATTTTTACTATAAATTGTGTTTTGAATAGGGAAATTTTTGTTCCTATACCATATAGGAAATTATATTACCAAATATGTTCATAGTTTGCATATTATCTGCCATGCTAATAGTATTTTTACAAAATATAGACAATTCATTAAATAAGGAATCATTGTAGCTGTAGGCTTCCTTATTTAGGCGCGCTAATATTGGGGAATTAAATATTCTTCCAGATATTTTACAGCGCAAATCACGCATTAATATTATCGGCTGTTTCAATTCAAAATTTAGCGACTCTGTTATACACTGTGTTCCAACATTTTTTCTAATTTTACAAATCAAAAATGACTAAATCTTCTACGATTCTTTTGCAACAAACATAATTATGTCCAAAATCCCAATTATGCTACAGCTGAATGTGAATTGGGATAGCTATGGGAGATTTAGAAAATTTCAGGTCGATGGCATTGTAGTCGATGATGATGCGAGTTATAGTCTATTGATTTCTACAATAGCACAACAATTAATGATCGATACATCCGAAAAAATTATATAAATCAAATACAAAGCAAAGGAAAAGAGAGCATCAATTCCACCATTGACAGCCATTAAAAAGCTTTGAAGCTTTGAATTCGAATTTGGGTTTTCAAAAGTCATTATTTGTTTGGATTGGGTGTTGTTGAAAATAATTGAGAATATGGTGTGGAGTTTATATCTCAATTTTGAGGGGTTTTGATGAAGATTAGACTTGATTTTGGCTGAATTTCATATTGAAACTCGAAGAAGAAGAAGAAGAAGAAGACATGACATACATTATATTACAGAAATCGTAGAAAAATTGTAGATTATTGTTTTTTTTTATTCATTTAACTATTGTATGAAAGTTGAACAACATTGTATAAAAATTATATTTAAGTGGTATTATATTGTAGTTGTGTATACATGGAGACGAAAAAGGAAAACAAAAACTTAGGATCATATCCGTTATGTATAAATGTTCGCGATTTCAATATGGAATTGAGTATCACCAATGAGAACACAATTACAGGTTTGTTCTGTTACATTTNTGCAGGTTCGTCTGGAACACTAAAGTTACTTGATATGCCAACATCTCCCGTTATAGAGGAATACGAAAGTATAATAATAACAGATAGTACACCAAGTTTTATTGAAGTGGGACAAGTATACCAAGACAAGCAAATTTCATACAGCTAATTATGCATAGTAAAAACAAATTTCATACAACTAATTATATATTATACTATTTATCTATAATTTTCATACATTATTTCTACTCAATTATATACAACTACAATATAATACCACTTAAATACAATTTTTATACAATGATGTTCAACTTTCATACAATAATTAAATGAATAAAAGGAAAATAAATAAACAACAATCTACAATTTCTGCAATATAATATATGTCATGTCTTCTTCTTCTTCTTCTTCTTCCTCTTCTTCTTCTTCGAGTTTCAATCTGAAATTCAGCCAAAATCAAGTCTAATCTTCGCCAAAATCCCTCAAAATTGAGATATAAACTCCAAACCATATTCCTAATTATTTTCAACAACACCCAATCCAAACAAATAATGATTTTTGAAAACCCAAATTCGAATTCAAAGCTTCAAAGCTTTTTAATGGCTGTCAATGATGGAATTGCTGCTCTCTTTTCCTTTGCTTTATATTACTGAAATTTGTATTGAGAGATAGAGAGACACGTAGAGAGAATTCTAAATTCTTTGCAACAACATCCAATCCAAACAAACAAATGTCTTTTGAAAACCCAAATTCGAATTCAAAACTTCAAAGCTTTTTAATGGTTGTCAATAGTGGAAGGGTTACAGATTTTCGCTGGTTTTAGAAGAGGAAATCGTGGGTGATTGAAGAGGAAATCGTGAGGTGTGGTTTGATACATGAGTGAGATGGTGAGATTTGGAGAGAGAAACTTGGGGGAGTGGGAATATACGGTTGAGTAAAATTAGGAGACTAATTAATACCATTAAAATTCTAAAATGGTACATAAATGGTAATTAGGTATATAGAAGGTAATTATATTAAAAGTTAAGCATAGAGAGTAATATAGTTTACTATATGTCATAAGAATGTAAAAATTCTTTTTGAATATGGCTATAGTTTGTAACTACAGTTCATGACTTGTTGATATGATTTGAGTTGATCCCTGACGGGTTCGAGCATGTTTCATATTAATTTTGAATAAAAACAACTGGCCCAACATCCCATGTGATCGCTATTATAAAGTAGGCCTCAAGATCACGCACAACTGATGTCAGTTTACCCTTCATTAGGGCTGACAAACTGGCGAATCGGGTCGGATATGGACGGATCAAGAATGGATAAGGTAAAAATAAATATATTATCCGATCCGGTCCATATTTAATACGAATAAAAAATGGGATAGACGGCGGATAATATGGATATCCATATTATCCATGGCTTCTTTAATATTAATACTTTTGGGAGAATTTCCAGTCTCCCAAACTTGAGGAACCTCCAATTTGAGATTTTACAAATGTAAAAGTTAAAACCATTAGTTATTCATTGATTATCCATTTTCTGAATGGATAATATGATTCTTATCCATATTTGACCCATTTTTAAAATGTTTATTATCCAACCTATTCTTAATGGATAATATAGGTGAATAATTATTTTCTTTTAACCATTTTTCCACCACTACCCTCCACTATAACAAAAGAAAGAGTCGTGATCCTAGTCTTGATCAAGAAGGTCAACTCCGCGAGTACGGAGTTGTTGCTCGCGATAGAGGCAGACATATTTTATGCAGTAAGGGGTCATCGGCACCTGCAAAGTTCGATAAAAATTCTGTCTCTCTACACACACACACACACACACACACACACACACACACACACACACACACACACACACACACACACATATATATATATATATATATGATATGCCGTTAAAAAAAGTAATATATTAGTAGTGACACTTTATATACAAAGCAAATTTTAATTGAATGCAAATATGCACCCACTATCTCTAAATCCTGAATCCGTCTTTGGCTCGCGATTGAAGGAGTTCGACAAAGCCTAAGTTTGCGATTATAAAGGTGTGGCTCGCGATCATGGAGGTCAATTATTTATGCATATATAGTATAAATATATATATCAGAACGGTAGACAAAGTATGGATGCATTTGTTTGCATTAGCATGATAACATGATCAGATTGACTATGGATGGCTAGTGTTTTGGCTGTCCAACAGGATGGGACGGGACGGGATTGTGAGCACATGATTTTTGCTTCACGGAAACTACTCCAAAAGAAATCGGAAAAGAAATAAAACAAGTTACTCTCGGGTACAATATTGAGAATTTGCGCGACATTTTGATAATTGTTCATGTTGCGTGCATTTAAGGAAAATGATACATTTGGGAATTAATTAACCATAATTTGGTTATAAAAGCGAAAATCACAAAATATGCATTTTTATTCTATTTGTTGTCATGGTGATTTTATTAAATGTTTTAATTCGTATGATAATTGTTGTTAAGTGTTAATTAATAGTTGTATAGTTTAATTTCGGTTTTTAGAAATTTTTTGTTTAATTATAGGGAAAGGAAATACCGTATTTGGGCCAAAAATTCAAATGAAAATCAGGCCCAATCCGTTGCATTGATCCAGTCCGATCACCTGACCCTTCA